ACAAAAATTCTCCAAAAAAGTAGAAAACTCTTCAAAAAACAAACTAGTTGAAATATTATTCCTCCCTGAAGATGGAGCTCTATTAATTATGAAAATAGAAATATTAGGAAAAGAGTTAACTGACATGCCCATGATTTCAAAGGACTTGAATTTATCAAGTGAAATTTGCCCAATTTCTAGAGTTTTCTTATAAAGAAAACCAACTCCTCCACCTCTACCAGCTCTAGCAACATGTTTAAAGACATACCCATTTGGAGTTAACTTATTAATGACTGATTGATTGTTAACRTTTTCACTTTTTAACCATGTTTCAATTAAACAAATAATATCAACATCATTATCAATAGTAAAATCATGTATATAAGATGGTTTGTTATACACTAACCTTGCCTTAAAAAGACAAATCTTAGCAGGCTTATCCAAAGAGGGTGAGAAAGGCAAAAGCAAAGGTGTAGAAATTATTATTCGACGATTATATTGTTATTATTCGACGAAACTGTAGGCAATACCGAACGGTTTGAAATAATCGAAGATATAGGCCAAGATTTCTGTTTATATCGAACACCAGCACGAGTTCGCCGAGTATTCAGAATGCCTAGGTCTTTTAAAGTATTAAAAACATTTGGTGGAATTGGAGATTTAGATTTAAGACATAGAAGTTGAATTCTTGAATAATTAAGATGAGTTGTTGTTGCTTGTATTGTTGAAATCGAATTTGAATATGGCGGCAAAACTAAAGATCGAACGAAGAATCCAGCAGAAGGACCAGAAAAAGCAGATACATCACAATAAAAAACACTTGTGGCGACTGGAGATAAAAAGGGAAAACCATTTGAAGCCAGAAGAGGATGAGGATAGTAGTTAAAAGAACGAATGCCAGTAAGAAACCAGTAATCACTTGAGTGCATCGCCATGGTCTGAAGCGGTTCGAGGAGAAATCAAATAAATATCGAAGATCTTGCGAAAAACATAGCAGGTTAACTTGAAAAAAACATAAATACGATCTAATAGAGTTACTAAGTCGAGAAAAGAGTTCGAAAGAAAGTAAAATAACGATATAAAATGAAAATACACGGAGCTAAGAATCATGCAGCCGTCTCAGGCGCTAATATGCTATAAGCTATAAAAGATAAGAAAAACGATAAGTAATTGTACTTGACGATAGTAAAAGGTACCATCAATATGCGGCGGCATTATATGAGCTTTGGRTCTCGGTGGATATCTCCCATGCAGTCAAGGATAGACTCCGTGAGTTTCTTGGAGTAAAACCATATGCGGTCCCTGAAATCTAAGGAAGGCCTCATGCTCTAGCCCCTCACTATGCAGAGAAATTCGCACTTCAACCTGTAGGCAGAGTCTAGTAGCATTCAGGCCGAGTCTAGGGGTTTCTCTTTTACTTTCAACAGTTCACACTATTTCTTTAGATTTTGAGAGGTTCTTGCCAGTAACATGGGTGAACTATATAGTTTTCCTGTAACTTTAGTTGGCCTTAAATCTGATCATTTGAATGCGCTGTTCGATTGTCTTCTGTCAACTGAAATCTCCTTCAAGACGGCAGATTCAACAGTTGCGCACCCCCCCAAAAAATATTTGTCTCGGAAGAGCTCCAAATGTAAGCGCAAGCACTGTCGTAAAGGGTCATAGACTTAAAAGATTCCAAACCACACAGCCTACAATCGTTGCCAAAATACCTTGGACCGTACAATTATTTGCCTTCAGCCTAACATTTTTCTCCTTTATTTTTTGACAGTTTTCCCCATTAGCCCCCTTTCATCAATGTTGGGTCTTGTTTTGGATGCTTGTGTGCTATGGTAACATGATCAATGACAACATTGCATTTAGGGGGTCAGGGGGAATGAAATTGTCTGCGGGTGTTGCTTAAAATGAGGAAATTCGCTGGAATGGTCCAAGGTTTTTGTCAACGATTGTAGCTATTGTGGAGATGGATTTATCATGTAGCTTTGCGGATCTGCAAAAGCAACTGATCGGCGTGGCATTTTTTAACGCCGGACTTCTGCACGAGTCTACCCTTGAAAAACAATAAAACAAACATAGTACAGAACTGGACGCTATGTTAGATGTAAGCATCGTTAAAAAATCGAAGGCGTAGGCTCAATAAAATAGAGAAAAGACTAAGTTACTTAAACTGCCAGGTCTGTGAAAGCTCTATACAGCTCTAAAGTCAGTGATTGTTTTCCAGCGGAACAGATCAGTCATCGGTCACAAAATTTTATTTAATTTAGCTCTTTCCTTTGAAGGCAAGGGCGATTCTTCTGTGGCCACTTGCGTCCCAGCGCTCCAAAATGTTAAGAGGCTCTAAGTTAATAAAGTTACACACGTATACTAATGAAAGGGAATTCAGTCGACCAGAGCATTGATGAACGGCCCGAGGAGGGGGGGAGTACTCGACCCCGTTTTGGATAGGTACGTGCCGTCAGCGGTCTAAACCCTTACCCTGTTTAAGACACTAGAAAGTGAAAATCCATACCCTGTTCAAGACAAATCCGAAAAATTAGGATTTGCTATCTACGCCGCAACCATCAAAACTGCAATAGCCATCAAAGACA